GGGAATTAGTTCTGAGATTTTCACGGACAGTGGCCCAAAGGTCCTACTCTCTTCCATTTTAGAACCACCAAGAGATCTTTTTAACAAGCTAAATTTTCACATGAGACCTCCGAATCTGTTTCTTCCTTTTGCGAGATGACTTGGTGCTCGCTTCGACCTATTCTGGGGTATCGGCGACTGTGGTGTAGACTTTAGGCGCGTCACAATAGCCAGCAATTTCATCGACTTGCTCTGCCTTTCTGCTGGTACATTATATCCCTTCCAACCCGGGTTGGCCTTGACAGGCAGGTTCGAAGCCAGCCTCATAAATGATCTAAATTATGTTGATTGGGGCCTAAAACACACACACACACACACACACACACACATATACACACACACACACTCACACACACACACACACACATACACACACACACACACACTCACATATCGACATACGGGCAGGGGTATGTAAAAACAACTTGAGAATAGAAAAACCCAACCCTATTGGGGATCGAACTCTAGACCTCCAGGTTGGTAGGCGAGCACCAAATCTGTTGAACAACACATCCTCAAAAATCTGACGGACAATAAAAAACTCAAAAGCGGTTAACTTTTTATAAAGTTTCCGTTTTATTATAATCCATGTATATACAAAGCAAGACAGATAGAAAAATAAGCGATAGAAGATGATAAACACTACTCACCCTTAACAACGCCAGTTCTTTATGTCCCACCTTCATTTAGTTATTATCTAACGCCATGAACAAATCCCACTTTTCGGAGATTGAGGGGGTGGCAGGGAGAGCGTGGGAATTCTTTTTATTAACAAGAAAGAAACATACATTAGTATTTCTTACGCGGAACTGAATTGTGCCGAGCTGTATGGTGCAAGAGAAGCCTGGTGTATTTTACCAGGCGATAGTTATGTCTTGACCATATTATTGTAAGCTTTGATGGCAATCAAAAATACCCCACAATATATATCCGGAAGCTTTGAAGTTTGAAGCGCAAGGGAAACCATCTACAAAAATAAAGACTTCACGGTGGCAGAGAAGAGCAAACGATCCAAGTTACTGCAGCAAACTTTTGTGAGGGGTCAAAATTGTCACGGGACGACTTTGGCTGACTTGTTGTTATTCTTGTTGTTGTTGTTTTCTTTGTCAAGCGGTGCTTATTGTTTGGTTGGTTATTGAACGTGTCCGTAGCATGTTCCACGCTGTCCCGATTATATAAGTATTAGTAAGTCCCTGATTTACGTTGATGGTCTTGACAACACCGCTATGACGTCAGCCTCTGGTATCCCCGTGAAAGTCTTGACCCTCACAACGTCTGTCTACGTTTCCCAAGTGCAGGATGTAACGAAAAAGCGAGAAAAGCTCGAGCTCGGAAATGTTTTTCTTTTTGAAAATATTCTACGTGTCTTCATTATGTACACGTGAGAGAGTGAGAGAAGAACACACACATAACACGTCCGTACCTTCCTTCTTTCCTTCCTTCTGTTTGCTGTGATTTGAGACCAAAGAGGCAGACAGGCCAAAAAGTCGTTATGACGAGACGGACAGACAGACATACAGACAGACAGACTGACAAATGAATATACTGAGACAAATGAGTACAGATATGAAATGAAAAAATCCCATTGGAAGATTTTAAAGACAAGGACAAGATCTGGCCGAAAAAAGACGCGACTACAAGAAGCCAGTCTTTTCATTTTATGTGTTCTTTCATTCGTCCGTTTTCTTCCTTCTGATAGACAGAACGCGGCACACAAAACAGTGAAACATTTCCCAAGAAGCTGGGAGACACGCCGGTCAAGTCGCAAACTCGGCGAGGCCTAGATGAAGTGTCGAAGAGATGGACTGATTTTTGCGTTAGAAAGTAGCCAGACAGCACAGCCCAAGAGCGATGTCGTCAGAGTGACCAATGATAGCAACACATGACGAAACCAGCTGGTGACGGCAAAACTATAGCACCAATTCTAACCTGAACCCCCACAGAAGAAAAGTAACAATACATATATTGTTATTATTATTTCTGGAGGACAAATACACCCGTCTGTTACAGGCTGGTCGGCGTAAAGAATTGATTCTATGGCCTTGACAATTCATCAGTTGGAAAATGATACAAGAAACAGATTTTGTTCTCGCCACTCTAGAAAGCAATAGGAAAAGTTACAACTTCTTTCTGATAGTTCAAAAGTGCAACATCATCACAAAGATAAAACATTAACAATACTTTTTTTAAAGAATGCTTTACTTTTCTAGCTAGACATCACGAAATAAGATCTCTTCTCTTTCATCTATCATTCTTGTCTTTATCTTATCGTGACGTCGGGATCATCTTCAGTCCTTGACAGTCTGCAAAAACAACTGCAAGTAAATCATTCTTGATGATTGTTTCGGAAATGCTTCCGTCTTGTTATTGTTGTTGTTGCTTATGCTGTTGTTACTGTTGTTGTTGTTGTTGTTGTTGTCATTGTTATTTATTTTGTTTGTTGTTTATATTATTGCATTGCTGCTTCTTCGAGTTGCAAATGATGAGAGGGTTGCAGGCCAGTTTACATAATGTCCCTGCGTCCTCCGTAGCTCATGCCAGCCTGGTTAGCTCCCCTGTTGGTGCCGGACTGAAGGTTGATGGTGGCTTGAGAGGCAGCAGACATATCGTCAGCCCTGTGGGGGTGGGGTGTGGAGGGGGGG